CCCCCCCCCCCCCCCCCAGTCCCTCACTCCTGCAGAGCAAAAAGGCACTATACTGGAAAGAAGGGAGGTACCCCCTTTAGGGCTGTGATTCAAACCCAGGTCTGCCAGGTTTCAAAGACAAGGTTCTCTATCCTCTTCCATGCTGGGGCTGAGATGGGTGTGGACCAGGTCCCTGGGGGTGGGTGTCTGCAGGACATCGAGAATCAGCCTGTTCATTCTGCCTCTTTGCAGAGCTTGGAGTCAGCCTTGAAGGACCTCAAGATCAAATGAGCCTTGAAGGACCTCAAGATCATATGAGGAATGTGTGGCCCTCATTCCAGCTGCTGGGGAAGGGAGGCTGAGTCGCTTTGCTGAATGTTTCTAGGGTACCAGTATGGGTCCCCATAGGGACTGTCCCTCAAAAGGGGGAGGTATGGGTGGGGAGCTTTTCTTACTCATTCAAGAAACGTGCCTTTTTCTTAAAAGAAATGCTTTATTGTAATAAATGCCCTCAAAGCACTATGCTGGTCATGAACTGCTTTAAAATGATAAGGTAATAAAAATGCAATCGTGAACACTTTTGCCTGTGTTTTGGAAGAAGAGGTTGGTTTTTGCATGGGCAAAGGTTTTTTGTTTGTTGCTGGCCAGTATGGGGATCTGAATCCTTGACCTTAGTGTTACAAGGTGGTGGGCACAGGTATCTTATTTTTGCTGCTTGTCAACGACAGTGATCCTTAAGCCCAAGGGCCTTAACCCAAATGGTTCCTTCCTCCCTGAAGTTCAGACCCAGGCTGCCACTCTCAAAGCTGCCAGGACCAGGTATCTTTTGTGTGACTCATTCAAGTTTCCTACACAAAGGTGTGGCACATTCCAAGCTGTTTCTGGACCTTAATGGAAATGTTATTTCTCCCTTGTGATTGGCAGTGATTTTTGATAAACGCTCATTTTATAGGAAGATTTTTTTCCTATTCCTATTTTACCCAGAGGGTGTTTTTGTTTTGTTTGATCATGGTTTTGGTTAACTATATAATCGTGGTTTTTCTCTTTTAATCTAACTAGGTAATGATTACATCATTCCTAATGGTCAATTTTCCTTATATTTATTTGTAGGATAAAATGGACTCCAAAGATGTCTTATCCCCACTGTTGTAGTGCCTGGCCCTCAGGAAGGCCTCCCCTGGTGGAAGAGACCCACTGATTCTCCCCTCCCCCCAAGTTATCTAGAGTCACCACCCACTGACTCTTTATTAATAACAGAGACAGAAATTGCAAGGCTCCAGAAGACAATGTCAGACCACACAACTCCCCTTATTCTTTACTAAATGCAACCTCAGCCTCTACCAGCCTGCTGCAAACTGAGGTTCCAGTCCCAGAGCTGATCAGACTGTCCCCAGGCCCTGTACTGAAGGGCAGGGAGGTGTCTGCACATCTTTTGTGGCTTCCCCCAGATGCGAAAATGTGGTCCCTGACAACATCCAATCAGTGTTCTTCCCCTTCTCTGAGATCCTGAGCAACAAGCTTCTCCCCTACTACTATAGAAATATCAATAGCAAGCATGCTCGTGTGGTCTCAGGGGTCTCAAGCTGGGGCTTTGCAAATGTTAACTGACCTCCCTTGCTACAGACACATAGCCTGTCTCAGAGACGGGAATGAGTCTTGGCTTAAAAACAGGTTCACTCAGGGCTGGCCCATGGCTCACTCGGGAGAGTGTGGTGCTGATAATACCAAGGCCATGGGTTCGGATCCCTATATAGGGATGGCCGGTTAGCTCACTGGGTGAGCGTGGTGCTGACAACACCAAGTCAAGGGTTAAGATATCCTTACTGGTCATCTTTAAAAAAAAAAAAAAAAAAAGTTCATTGTCATGTGCTTCCCATAAGGAAAGGACTGCATGGCACTGTCACGGTGGGGTTAGGACCCTCCAAGGGTGGCTGAAGCTCCTGAGGCAGGCAGAAGGCCTAGTCAGAACAGGAGGGGACCCTAGACCCTGCTTTGTGTTGCACATCAACAGTGGCTGCTAGGACCACTGGCTGCGCTTGGTGATCTTTCCTCTGTGCCAGACCCTCCTGGATGTTCAAAGGACAGACAAAGGAACATTCTTTTTCAAGAAACTCGTAGTCTAGTGGTATAGACAGATGATGACAACCCAGTGTTCAAGAAAGGAGGGGTGGGGGCTAAGGAAAGGTTCCAGGTAAGGAGTAGCATGCACAAGGGTTGTGGGAAAGAGTGTGGCACCTTCAAGGAGCTGAAGGACTGCTGTAGAGTACAGGGTGGGGTGGAGCTGGAAGTGAGGCTGGGAGGTCCCCAGGGACCAGCTCCTGGCAGCCTTTGCCATCAGGGGGAGTCAGGCCACTAAAGCTGGGGAGAGACATGGCTAGCTTTGCATTCTAGAGACCAGGTTGGAGGTCCATGAAGAGACAGCTGCAATTGTGCAGGTGAGATGATGGAACAAGGCAGTGGGGTGGAAACTGCCCAGGTTCTGGAACCACAGGATGCTGGGGATGAGGGACAGGGTGAGATGGGATGGTACCCAACACCTGCTTGGGCTCCTGGGGTGAATGGTGGACACAGCTGAAGGAGTCTTAACAGACATGAGTTACTGTGTCCCCACCTTGGGAAGGAAGCCTTGTTATACCCATTTTAAGGAAGGAGAAACTGAACACCAGAGAAAGCAGTTACAAAGTTTCATATATGGAAAGTGGCAGAGCCAGTATTCAAACTCAGGTCTGACTTCCCAGCCCTACTGCTGGGACATCTGCTGAAAGGGCCTCTTGGCAGACCTGCAGGGAAACGCTTCCCATTGGCACACCCCCCACATACCCACGCAAGTCTTGGAAAACTGCACTCCTAGGCCTGCAGACACCAAGCAAGTCCTTACCTCTGGCTTCTCCCCAAGGTAGAATGAGCCAAGGACAGTCCTGAGCACACTGGGAATGTTGCCAAACATGGTCTCTTCATACCACCAACTCACATAGACCTCCGGCTTCCAACACATGTTAAAAGGCACCTACCTCATCACACCCTGTCTTGGAGCCAGCAATGGGGCATAGTGAACCTTGCCAGATAGCCACCACCTTCTTGCACCTTCCTCCATCTGGTCAGAGAACCTCATTTTCATGGCCACAGACTTGAACTTGAGTAGCTGCTGCATTATTCCCAGGGGAGGGGGAGGTGCTCTGGCAAAATCTTTGAGTTAATTCCTTCTCCTGAGGGGTCAGGGCCAGGGGGATTTTCTCCACAGGCCAGGGTGAGCTGCAGACGCTGGTGGCTGTGGTGTCTCGAGGTTCCTGGGGTTGTTGACCTCCAAGATAGTCAAGGCCAGGGGGGTGTGGTAGAAGTCACTGGGAGTCAGGGGCTACATTCTATCCCTACATCCCAAACTACACTTCCCTCCCTCTGCACCCAATCATGTCAACAGACCGGCTGACCTCTCAGGATCATATAAAGGACACTTCTGTTCACAAGGTGAAATGCCCCCTCACAGAGATCTGAGGGGCAGGACAGGTGTTGTGGGGTTACTTTTCATTGGGCCTCAATCCACAGGCAGCCCACTTGACTGCACTAAGCCTCAGTTTTCCAAGTGCCAGTCCCTGCCACACAGGGTGGTAAGGATTAAATGAGCTAATAGCTCTCAGGTAGTCAGTGCTGGGTATCAGCTATTGGAATGCTTCCTCCAGCATGGATTTCCTGAGGCTGTTACCACCAGGCGGAACCTGGAGGCCACGAGAGGGAGACCTGGTGCTGCTCCAGCCTGCTGTGGAGAGTCCCTGGCCGCTCTGGCCTAAGATCCCTCCTTGGTTGGGCGGACGGCGAGGGGCAATTATGAGGCACTGGGCTTGGCATCTGAGGTCTCTCCCAACTCCAATCCTGGGGTCCAGGATTCCCTGCACCCTGCTCAGTGCTGCCTGATGAAAGGCTTGCCACAGCTAGGTACATGCACTGAACCTTGCCAGGAGCACCTGCCCGATAGTGACATCATGCTTTGCTGGGTAAAAACCAGCTGGGGTACAGGAGCCAAAAGACAGCTTGCAAAACAAGGATTAAGATAAAGTCAAATTTAATCTGCCAAATATACAAGTTGAATTTGTGGAGCGTTTTGCCTGGGTGCTGCACAGTAAATAGAAGTTTCTTGAAATGATCAATGGGTAGGGTTAAAAATGCGCACTGGCCCTGGCCAGGTGGGTGAGAATGGGGTGGGGAAGGGTGGAGAGGAGGGGCCTCAGTTGGAGGGGACTGGCCAGGGACAAGCCATGACCCTCAGGGACCTAGGGGCATGGGCTCCTAGAGATGGCCCCTCTCTAGGTAAGCACCCAGGCAACACAGACTGGGGCTGGTTGTCACAAAGTCATCAGCAGCCAGCCCCTGGCACAACTGCCCACTAACGTGCAATCTACTGGACAAACGGAAGCTCTTCTTACCCACCTCCCAGGCACCCCCCCAGCAAGGGTTCTGAATTCTAAAAACAGCAAAAACATTCAAATGGTTACATATGAAATGCTGTCCTGCATCTTTCTGTCTCAAAAGATAGCAGCTGCCCCTCCCCCCAGGCCCTCCCACATCCCCCCAAACAATTTCTGTGCCAAGATGAAGAGCAGGTCCCAGGCCACAGGGGCTCCTGGCCATGAGGGGCTGCTGCAGTGGCGCCAGGGCCCAGGGTGGGCGAGACACAGCAGAGGTCCTGGCAGTGCAGCCCAGTCCCTGGCATCTCCTCCCACAGGCTGCGCTTACTTATTCAGGGAGAGCGACTGCATTCGTTTTCCTGACAAAGTCGCATCATCTTTTGCTGAGGGGTTGGAAAAGAAGGGTAGGAGTTAGAACAAAGCAGAACCACTCCTCCACACACATACCCCACAATCACAGAACTTTAGGCCTGAAAGGCCTCAGAAAACATTTTGTGCAACGGGCTCAGCTGGCAGACAAGGAAGAGACCCAAGCAGCAGGGCCCAGGCTGACACTCCCTGTAGGAGAGGATTTCTGTTGAAGCCACTGGACCAAGGCACCACATTCCCAATGTGTCTGAGTGGCTGCCATACCTTATTGAAAGCTGCCCCCTCCACAAAGGCCCACCAACATGCAACCTCCTGGGCAAACAGAAACTTCTCACCCCACCTCCCCAGTAAAGCCCTATAACTCCAACCTCTCCCCATGGGTTCTGAAGTCTAAAGTCTAAAATCAGCAACAACATTCAAATTGTTACACATGAAGCTCTTTCCTGCTTGGGGTTTGTGAAGCAGAGCTGAGTGGGGAGTTGGGATTACCAGATCTCCAGTGTGGTGACAATGCCCCTGAACAATTGATTTCCCATTTCTAAGCCTGTTTCCTCATATCCAATGAGGCAGGAAATGGAAGGTCACAAGTCAAATGCTCTTATAAACTGGACCAAGTCCCCATAGGTCCCTGGCCTAGGGGAAACCCCCTACCACCTTTGGCCAGTCTGGAGGGAGGGTATGGAGAAGAGGGACTCTTGGGCCAGGTTTCACTGGGTCTGCAGTGTTATGAATCCAGCGTACCCTCCCAAGCCCCTCAGATGGACAGTGGTGACCCTCAGTAGCTCTCTTGGCTTCACAAAGCACCAGAGACCTTAGAGACCTTCTAGCCTCAAAGGTCTGTACTAGGTGCATGGCTCCCTGAGGCCTCCCACTATTGGTGGGCAGTGACCATTCTCCCACGATGGACAGTGCTCTGCTGAGAGTCCAACCCACACCTGAGTCTGTGAGGCCCCTGCACCCTTCCCAGCACCCTTGGGAAGTGGTGAGCAGGAACCTTTCCATCTGCACATGCAGGGTGAGCCTCTACTCAACAATTTGGTCAAGCAGCTGCCACTTCTCACCCTAAACCCATTTCACAAAGGACACACTTTCAGGGTTTGGTGGCTTGCCCAGAACCAGAGTCTGGTAGTCACCCCTTGCACCAGCAGCCCAGGACTTACCTTTCCTCTCCTCTTCTTTCTTTCGGGCTGCCTCTTCCCGCTGTTTCCGGATGATTGCCAGCCGGGCAAGGTCAGCCTTGGCTTGTTCTGTCTTTCCAGCTAAATGCATTTTCATGTAACGCTCTTTTGCTTTCTGTTTCTCAATTTCTTCTCTGTTTGGATAAAATCATGTCACAGGGGACATCTTCCCCACCGTTAGCTGAGCTGGATGTGGGAGCCAAAATAAAGGCCAAGCACTTGGGCCTGGGAACAAGGTGGAAAAGGGTGCTATGGCTGAGGGAGGGGCCCTGGCTCCATGTGCCCCTGCTTGATGGACACTCACCAAACAAGCAAGCAGAAGGAACAGGCCCAGATGAAAAACACCTGTGTCCTTGAAAAAGCCTTAGCATGAGAGTGGAGAGTGTCTGGCTGGGGGGTGGGGAGGGGAGGATGCCTGAGGGCCTCATGACTAGAGTCTGGTAGCCACACTGAGAGAGGCAGAACAAAACCAAGTGAACTGTGTGTTCCAGAGAAGGTGACCAGAAGGAAGAAGGCACTGGAAACCACATTCTATAAGAAATGGGGAAAGAAGTGGACCAAGTAACCACAGGGCATGGAATGAGGGCCACATTGGGAAAGAGACACACCCAATCTCAGGTCAACATGATATGGTACACTGTTAGAGCAGCTCGGATGTGCAAGAGGCTGCTTCCTAAGGGGGTAAGCCTCCATCAACAGGGGTGTGAGAATAAAAGCTGGACTCCCGTGCATTGGGAAAGAGACACACCCAATCTCAGGTCAACATGATATGGTACACTGTTAGAGCAGCTTGGATGTGCAAGAGGCTGCTTCCTAAGGGGGTAAGCCTCCATCAACAGGGGTGTGAGAATAAAAGCTGGACTCCCGTAAGCCAAAGTGTCAGTAACCAACACACTTAGGTAGAGAGTGGTGGTCATTAGTTTCCCTTTGAGGATAATCTCAAGCCTGAGATAAACTGAAATGGACACACTTCACAGTGTGAGATCGTTGGGTCCCATTTGCACTGGGTTTCTGTAAGAACCAAGTACTGGTGAAGAGGACAGCCCTGCTTAGCAGGAGGCTGGGGGAGGGACTTGGACTCCCACAGTACAGAGGGCCAGGGAGTAATGAGAAACAAGGCATGGGGCACTGGCTAGCCACTGGGAGTGGGATCAGCAGATGGCTCATCCAGGAGACTGGATAAAAAACTTGCTACAGAAATGAGGAGAAAACACCCAGAGCCCAGCAGATCTTAACCTAGGAGGGTCATGCCAGACTGAGAGGCCTCTAAGCTGAGCCTTTCGTAATGAACAAGCCTGCCTGAAACAGGGCCCCCTCAGCCCTCAGTGAAGGTTAAGTGCCAGGCAGGGTGCTGGCCTTTATGGTTATCTTCTCTGCAAGTCCAAAGGACAGGGGTAGCAACAGGATCCCCACTTTATTGGTGAGGATATTGAGTCCCAGAGAGGGCAGTGACTTGTCCAAAGCTGCACAGGTGCAAAGTGGCAGAACCTGGGTGGGCACTAAAGCCTTTCTACTCTGGGAAAGCCAGCACCAGCCCATGCTGTTGGGTTTCTGGGGAGTCAATCCTAAGAAGGAAGCTCCTGGAGGGGTAGAGTCCTTAGTAGCCTCCAAACACCCCCAAGCTCATGGGCCTTCCCCGTGGGGTTTTCATAGATACACCCCTCAGCCGTGATGGATCAGCACAGGGAAGTGGACTGAAATCCTAGCAGCCCAGTCAGGAGAGAAACCAGGGCTATTTTCCCAGCAGCCTTCCACCTCTTGTAAGACCCTGAGTTCACCTGGTGGCCCTCAATAGTCAGGGCACTACTTGTCAAGGGCTGACCATGTGCCAGGCACTTCAGTACTTGTTCTTGATCCTTACACAACTCACAAGGAAGACATCTATAGCTCCACTTTCACACTGGACTTGGAGAGGCCTGGGGCAGCTGGCTGAACCAAGCAGAACCTCCCTGGGATGGGCTGCCTTCGGTCTGGCCCAGGCCCCCAATCCCCTCCCAATCCCCATGGCCAGGACACAATGGATGGATGCATGCCAGGAATGGTCAGATCAAGATGAATAAGGAGTGTCCTGAGGGTATGGCTCTGGAGGTCAACTCTCCATATCCCTGGGCCATTACTTCAAGCTCAGGTCTGAATCTGCTGTTCTATTTTTCCTGACATCATGTATCTTCTGGTGAAAAAATATTCTGGTTGTTTTGTTTTTGAGAAGCTACTAAAGAGCTTTTGGGGAATGAAATGAAACGTATAACATGGCTAGTGCCCCCAACCAGCCACTGGGGACCTCAGAGCCCAGGAAGCCAGGGCCGAGGAGCTTAGTGCCTCAGCAACCCACAGGCCAACTCCCCCACCCCATCTGGCCCATGTGCCCAGGTCACAAGGCCCAGCCAGCAGACGTTACCGTTCTCTCCTTGAAAGCTCCTTTGGCCCATCCAGATCCAGCTGTGTGACTTTTTTGGTTGTCTGTGCCACCCGGTTGGGGTTCTCGATGTCGATGAGCCCTTCCACACCTTTGCGCTTTTGCTAGGACAGGGCAAGAAGCTGACTGTTGGAGAAGTTTAGATCCTGCAGAGCCTCTGAAGGCCACTTCCACTGGCTCCCTACAGCCCACCTGAATGGGGACAAACTCCTACTCCACCCCCAGCCCACATGATGCTCACCCCAAGTCTCACAATGGGGACAGCACGCAGGAGTATCTTTACCAGCCTGGGAGGGGCAAGGAAAATGAGTGGGTGACAAGTGTCCCAGCAACTGGGACTGTTATCCTAGTTTCAGAGGTGACAGAATGGGAGCTCAGGGTTAAATAATGTGCCCAAGGTCAACCAGGAAGTAGACAGTAGGTGTGATGTGAGCCCTAGCCCCACTCACAAACTCTCAACACAGAGCACTACTCTTCCACTTCAAGCTTAAGTCTCCAAAAGGAGTTTTCCATAGACTCCCATCCCTGATTTTTTCCTGCAACAAGCATAGGTTGGATCCCCAGCGTAGGGCGGGCCAAGGATGTGTGTTCTCACGACCAACTCCAATTCCTACCCATCTCAGCTGATGGTTGAAAAATGTAACCTGTGAATGAACCATTAGATCACAGAGTCTATGTGTTTTGGGAGCTGGCACCTCCCCTGGAGAAGCTCAGGAAGAAAGGAGAACACAAGTTCTTGATGTAGCAGGCTTGGTCAAAGTTTCAAGCCCTGCCAAGCTTAACTTTTCTCCTTAAGGGCGATAGCTTCCAAACACCAAACAATCTGATCACTCCACAGAGCTCCACATGCCCATACACAATCTGGCCACACTGACACCTCCACTGGGATATCTGACTGACATCGCAAACTTGATATGCCTAAACAGAACTTGAGATTCACCCCTCACCCAACCTGTTCCTCCCCTCAATCCTAAGTATACCCTTGATTCCTCGTTCCCTTGGTAACCCCCAAATATGGCTTAAATTTATCCACTCTTCTCCATTGCAAGTGCCACCACCCTAGTGCAAGCCACAATTCTTATCTGGATCCTGCTGCCATCTCCCCGCTCCCACCCTCAACACCCAACAATTCACTCTCCACAGAGAAGCCAAAATAATCCTTCAAAAGCAAATCTGGTCATCTCTCTCTCCCGCTTCACAGCCTCTGCCAGCTGCCCCTATTATAATGAAACCCAAACCCCTTCAACAGTCATACAGGAGCTGCCCTTGCCAACCTCGTGGCCTGCATCATGAACCACTTTACTCCTCACATACTAAGTCATAGCCCCACTGGCCCCTTTCTGTTCCTTGAACATGCCAAGACTGTTCCCACCCCAGGGCCTTTGCACTTACTAATCTGGTTGCCTCAATTGCTCTGCACGCCAATTTTCACTGGCTGGCTCCCTCTTGTTTTTCGGATCTCAGCTTATAAATCACCTCATCACCCCAACACTACTCCAAGTACCTCAGTCACAGTGCCTTTTATTTGTAGTACTTAACACTACTTGAAATTATACTGTTCATCTAATTCTTTATTGTCTCTACCTCCCCATTAGAATATGAATTCTCAGGAGCAAGAACTCTGCATCTATCATCAGGACTGGTAATGAACAGGCACTCAATAAATGTTCGTTGAATAAGTGAGTCCAGGTCCCAGATCTCCATCAGACACAGTACCTGGTGGTCATCTTCTTCCTCCTCACTCTCATCTGAATCTAGAGATTTCTTCTCCTTTTTGGGGTCACCTGCAGCCCCATCTCCACCTTCTTCTTGTTCCTCTTCTTCCTGTTTCAGAAATGGACAACCTGCAGAATCAAAAATGCAAAACAAACCCCCAAGACTGTGACCCCGCTACCACCCTTAGACTGTGGACCTTGAGTAATTAAGCCTCCAGAAGGCTCAGTAATGACAGGTATGACAAGGGTCCTGCTCTGTGACCCTGGCCCCCAGGGTGGGGGACCTGGGTCAGAGACAAGCAGCCTATCCACTCAGCTTCACAGCCTTGAGGCCATTTCCACAGTCCCGCAAGCTCTTCTCACAGCCACAAAAGACCTTGCTGCCCTCCCTGATCCAGCCACCTCAGGCAGCCTGGGTCAGGACTCAGTCGTGTGGCTGAAAACTACAGTCCTGTTCAGCTCCCTCACCTGTCACATGCAGCTGCCAAATCGTATTGGTTTTCCTGGGCAAGGCCTCCCCCTGCTTTCCACTCCCATCATCTGTGACAGGCCAGCCGCCCTGACCTACCCATGTACTCGCCCTGCAACACCAGCTTCCCAAAACAACACCTTGGCAGGCTGCTTCCCTTCACCTTTTTTGCATTCCCACTGAAAATTCCCTTACAAAAACCTATGTCCTTCTCCTCTTGGCACCTGCCCACACATTCTCCAAGTTCCTGCTCAGCTGCCAGCTCTTCCATCAGGCCTTTCTAGACCCCCCAGCTAGAAGTGGCCTCTCCCTTCTTGGAGATCCTGGGGCACTTCTCAGCTGTGCACTTGTCTGGCCCTGACTGAGCTCTCTTTGGCCCTTCATCCAGGCATGGATCTAACGGTGTGGTGGAGAGGCAAACACCAATAATGATGGAAATGTATTCTGTTTCCTAACAGTGGGCTGGACAAAGTACCACAGAACAGAGGACAGGGAACTACTAAGTCAGCTTGGACTGGAGGGAGAAAGGTGGTTAGCATCAATTTGTAAGAGTCACGGAGGAGGTGACGTTGAACAGTCTTGAGGAACAAACAGTACTTTGCCTGTTGGGAGTGTGGGAAGGCATGGCAACGCGTGCTGAGTTTGCCAAGCAGTCCTGCGTGGCTGCAGCAGACAAACAAGGGGTGCTGGGAGCTCGGCTGTGGGTGGACAGAGCCTTGTGAAGGGAGAGCCCCTGGAAGACAGGTACACAGGATCAAGAACAGAAACCCACTAAGGCAACTGCTGCAACACGAATAATGTTCTTTCTAATTGATCCAGTCAATTAAATCAATTGACTAACTGATGGCTCTCCGACAGAGCCTTGTGAAGGGAGAGCCCCTGGAAGACAGGTACACAGGATCAAGAACAGAAACCTACTAAGGCAACTGCTGCAACACGAATAATGTTCTTTCTAATTGATCCAGTCAATTAAATCAATTGACTAACTGATGGCTCTCTTTTGGACTCATGGCTCACATCTGGGATTCACATCTGCTGCCTGCTGCCCTACCCACTCCCACATGCTGACTTGTCCCTGAATGGGTAGTCCTTGCCTGGCCTCTCTGCCAAGGAGACAGGGAACCACTCTGGGCCACTGGAGTGGCCTGGACAGGCATGTACTCACCCTGGCCTTCTGCTTCTCAGCCTGGAGCTGTGCGTCGATCTCCTCAGGGCTCGTATACTGCCTTGCCCGGCCTTTGTGGCCTCCCTTTCTCCCTGCACAAGGATTGGCAGTTTAGGAAGGTGAGAGGCAAGCAGCTGCCTTGACTGCCCTGACTCTAGAGGGTGGTGTCCTGCTTGGGGTGCTCTCATCAGAGGTTGCAGCCCATACTAGGCACCACCCAAACCTGCACCTCCTCTACTTTCATGTGTTCAGAGGGATACAAGAAGCAACTTGTGACCATCTGTGCGCCAAACTCTGTACTGGATGCAGGTTCTCATGAAGAAGACTGAGGAGAAGTAATGAGGGACTGTGCACCACACGGAGTGACTGGCTAAACCCTTTGGTCCCTTAGAATCCAAAATAGTGTGTGGGATCCGAACCCTCGGGCGGGAGCGCCGCCGCGCTTCCCAAGCGGCGCACTTATCCAGTGCGCCACCAGGCCGGCCCAGAATCCAAAATAGTGGACTCAGATGCAATTACGAAAATGTGCAATACTTATGTCCCCGCTATCACTACAGGGCTTTTTACTTGCAGTGTTCTGTCACAGCCATGGGCTCATTTGATCCTCGGAACAAACCTATGGTGCGGGAGTCATTGCTGGTCCCATTTTATAGACAAGGAAACTTAAGATCAAAGCGGAGTGGTGAAGAGCACAAATTGTGGAGTCCAACCCCTAGGTTTAAATCTCAACTCTACCACTTACTAGCTTTGTGACTCTGGGCAGGTATTTAACCTCTCAGAGTCTCAGTTTCCTCTTCCGTGTCCATAACTCATAGGGTTGTCATGAAGATAGATTAGTTAATATATATAAGGCTATTGGAACAGTGCCTGGCACTGGATAAGCACTACAAAAATGTCTGCTAAGATTGTTACTTTTCTCTCTAATATAATATTTGGTAGGAAAACAACAATGACAAACACCACTGGCCACATAAGCGATTTACTTCAAATGCCAGAAATAAAATACTTCGTGCTCATCTTAGTGGTATGGTAGAAGGAATATTTTTTATTTATTTTTTATTTTTTTAAAAGATGACTGGTAAGGGGATCTTAACCCTTGACTTGGTGTTGTCAGCACCATGCTCACCCAGTGAGCGAACCAGCCATCCCTATATGGGATCCGAACCCGTGGCCTTGGTGTTATCAGCACCGCACTATCCCGAGTGAGCCACAGGCCGGCCCCAGAAGGAATATTTTTTAAAAACCGAAAACCTATAGGCAAAATCTCGGTGCTCACAGTAAGAAATATGACTGGCAAACAAACTTACAATTGAAGATAAACTTGACTACAGCCCAAGAGTTAAAGATATGACTAGTCATTAAAGTTTGTCTAGGAATATCAGTTTTATAGTACAACTCTCTTGAGCCAGGACAATAGACTGACCCCTGCTAAAGCCATCAGCCAGTTTTATAGCAGAATGACATCCCCTCTGCTGGTCCTGGAGGATGCGGGAGTGGCTGCAGTCTTGATTCCCCACAAGGACCTCTCCTGGAAGCTGAGGCCCACTTGATTTCCAGAGAGTCCCTCACCGTAAGCAGAGAATGTGTAATTAGACAGCCAGAGCTACTCTGGACTCCACAGAGAGCAGCAGAGATACTGACCTCCCCTGACTTCCTAGACAGCAGCTGCAGAACCATAATTGGGCTGCTATGGAACACACCACCCATTTTTAATGACTACCTGGGCTCCCAGGGGTGTCTAAGTCTATGCTAATGAAAGTCCTATTGTGAGAGATCAAGCTTGCCATTAAAAAAACCCAACACCCTTTCTTAACCTCTTAATATTCCAGGCAACAGTAACAACTCAAAAAAAAAATGGTTACTACAGGTTCTCATCCCATATGAGGGATATGAGGCATATATCCCTCTCATACCCTATATGGCTATAGGATACTGACCTTACCCTGGTCTACAGTAACTTTTATCATAGGCTCGTCAAGACTTTAAAAATGCTTTACAGTTAGAATAATAAAAACAATAGCTGGTCCTGTGCTCTGCTTCTAACATGTGCATGTTTTCATGTGCTTTTCAAATTAACCTAAGCAAGGAAATGTAAACCATGTCTGCCTGCAAGCTTTTGCCACAAGTCAAAAGACCAAGTCGTTTAGCTAAGAATTCATATTTAAGATTTTCTACTTGTAACCTCCAACCTTGGCCTAAGTAAGACTGTGGGAACAAGATGGTTCATTCAGCAATCCCTTTACAGATAAAGAGACTGGGGGAACATAGAAGAGACATGGCTCTACAGGCTACAGTATAAATCAGTGGAGAGCTAGGTTTAAACATTCAGCTCTGTAAAACCCAATATCTTGGAAGTAGAGTCAAGAAGTGATTTAGATATGAAAAACCTCCAGGCAGATGTTCCTGTGGATTGAGTGCATTAATCAACATAACACATGAGCTACCAATATTAACTGAACATCTGTTCTGTGCTAGGAGCTGGCCAGGCACTTTGTGTGCGCTATCATTTTATAACCCCTATCCCCTACTCGCCAAGCTAAAGATTATTAGCTCGATGTTCCAGATGAGGAAAACAGGCTGGAAGAGGTTAAATAACTTATTCAAACTGGGGACTATTGATTGTAAAGGGAAAGAGGATGGAGGACGGGCTCCAATGTACCGGGAAGCCACTTACAAGTGGTAATAGTTAATGCTTACCGGGCAATGTACTGCACCCTCTACGAAGATAACCCACTTTAAACCTCACATCAGTACTATGATGTAGGTACAATCATTACCCCCATTCGCAAATGAGAAAACTGAGACACAAAGAGTTTAAGCGATTGGCTGAAATGCACCCATTGAGCCGCTACCGAACAGGGGAGTTAAAGCCAGGTCTGCCAGGCTCAAGAGCATCATGTTGTCTTATTAGGCAGGGCTGGCAGAGCCGGTGCCCGAGAGGCCCACGTTTTATGCGCGAGGCAGGCGGGCCCGGCATAAGAGCGGGACGCGGTGACTCAGTCCCCAGCCCGTCTAAAAGTAGGAGAAAACTCCAGACCCCCCAGACCTGGAGAAGCGTGTCCCGGATCCGGCTTTCCCCGCCGGCGAGGACCCCGAGTCTCCGAATCTCCTCAGACCCCCGAGGGAGTGGGCCTAGGCCACCATGGTTCTCAGTTTCCCCATGGGAACAATTGGGCGTCGAAGCCCAGGCCTGGCTCTCAGCTGGCGTGGACGTCCTCCCTCTGCGCCACTCTCCGAGATGCCGGCGGGCTGAGGGGACAGCAGGAGCCGGACACGGGCCGCCCCAAGAGGCCCGCAGGCCACACGCGTCCGCTCCTCACCTCCTTTAGGCATCGCGGCTCCGGCGGCTGCGGCGGCGGCGCCTCGAACTGACACCGGAACCGGAAATATCTTGGGCTCGACTTCTTCCGCCCGGTCCAGTCCCCTCCGCGCGCCGCGGCCGCCGCAGTTGCCGAGAGAACCGGGACCTCAGGGAGGGCCGCACACGAAGCCAGACTGTCCCGCGCGCCGCCTGAGTCCGGGTTCGCCCGAGTGCTGCCGGGCAACAGCGTCCCTAGTCTCCTTGCCCGAGGAGACGCGTGGCCCCGTCGGACACCTCCTGGGAAGTGAGGGCAAAGGGCAAGAGCGGCTCTGGAATTCTATACAGGCAGCGCTGCAGACACCCAAAATGACGCAATCTCCGCGCGAGGCTGGGCGGGGCTCCCCGAGGACCTCATCCTGAAGAGATTACCTGGGGAGCGGAAGCCGTCAATAGAAAAGCGGCGGCCTGAGGCGCAGGGGTTTCCGGTGGGTGTTTTTCCTCTGTTCTCCAGTACCTTGGTAACGGACGGGGTCAGGGACCGCAGGTTTGCACTGGCTGGGAAGTCGATCTGAGCGGCCGGAGCAGGGGAGTGGAGTGAGTTCCTGAGAGGAGGCGGTGCCTAGTTCGTTCTGCCGAGGAGATGGCAGATTTGGGGGTTTTCTTGCTTGTAGGCTTCTTTTCACGCCGTTTGCTCTGTCGTTTTTCTGAGCCTGGTTCAGATGCTGTCCTCTTTGTGAACCTTCCCTACAATCCCGGCTGTCACGTCTTCCTTCTCTCCCCCTCGCCTCCTTCCCTGAACGTCCCTACTTCTCTTACACCGCCCGACACCTTTTTTTTCTTAATCTGGTTACCTCCTACCTTTACTCCTCCCGGGAGACCTGCTCTGACTCCCAAGCTAGGCAAGGACCCTTGAATTCTCCGGATTATAGGAAAGTGATCATTAGGGCAGGAAACAGAATCCTCCTATCGCTAGCTTCAGCGCAGGGGAGTCCAGCGCAAAGATCACTGATTAGGGAGTCAGGAGCCGCGTCAGTCAGACTGTGCCAATTCCCAGCTGTGCGACCCCGACTCTGCCTCTTAAGAGTTTGGTTCCTCATCTGTAGAGTTGCTGTGGAGAGTTCATAAGAAGAGGCTCTGTGTGTGGCTTTGTAAGTTGTCAGGCAGCTTACCGAAGTGGGGAGTGAATTTGGGACAGGTGAGTCTGCTGCACTTACGGGAGAGATAATTAGCCTGAGATCTCTTTGCCAGCTAGGAAGTGCTATGTGATTTGAACAACGTTTTGCTATTTATATTTGGACTTTACTATTGTATGGGCTTTACCTGATTTGTCTATGAAACATGTTCGTTAGGTCTAAATGGGGCCTTGACAATCGGTTAATCCACTGCCCTCATTTTACAGATGAAACTGAAGACCAAATTAACTTCTTGGAACTCACAGAATAATTGGTAGAGCCGGACAAGAATCCAACCCCTTAACTGCAGAGACCAGAGATCTTTCTATTACAGTCTTGGAAAAGGATCCTCAGGTACTATGGTTTTACAGCTCTTTTCCCTTTTAAAAACTCATCCTATGGTAGTCCTCTTCACACTACCATAATTGTCTTTTCACTTGTCTGTTTCCTTGCTAAAATGTTACCTTCTAAGGGGGCAGAAGCTATGTCTTAATTCCTTGTTCTGTGTTCCTAATATCCAGTATAGGGCCAGGCTGGTAGTTGATCGTTAATGGTAACAGCAAATGTCTATTAAGCACACATTATACACCAGGCACATTACATAAAATTATAATTAAGTCGTTAAAATAACCCCCATAAGGTAGGTTCTATTATCGCCATTTTGCAGATGAGGAAACAGATTTAGGGAGATTAAGAAGCTTTCTAAATATCACAATGGGTAAGTAGCAGAATCAAGATTTGAACCCAGGTAAGCTGGATGCTGAGCCCTTTCCTATAGCTACTGCCCTATGCTGCCTTGAGAAAGTGAACATGTACCAAAATAGTGGCTGGTGAAGGTCTTTGGGGATCTGAGACTCAGAAACCACTTCATTTAAATTTTTTCCCCAGATCTTTGCAAATTAACTTGTGGAAAAAATGCCTAAAGTCAAAAGAAGCCGGAAAGCTCCCCCAGATGGCTGGGAGTTGATCGAGCCAACACTGGATGAATTAGATCAAAAGATGAGAGAAGGTGAGTGGGAAGTGCTGGTCTAGGTGGGCTGGGTCCAAGCATCACAGGCTTAGATGCCTCTATGGGCTAGGCATAAATGTGAATATGAGAAGAGGCTGGTCTCTTAAAACTGACATGTTTTGTTTGTATGTTAACTCATAGGAATATTGGAAGTGCCAGAAAATAAGATAACATTAATGAAATGGTCCTCAAAAAAGTTTTTTTGGCTAACTTGAGTATAAAAGCTTTAGGGAATGTAGATCAAATAGTTAAATAGTCTACCTATAGTTATTTACTATTTTGGTTAGATGTATATTTAAAATCATACAAAATATATTTACTTGAAAATACTTTTTTTCACTTTCACATTGTATGAAACATTTCAAACTTCTCTTGTGAGTCTTTGATACTGTTTTCATCATCACTTAGTCTTTGCATCATCTAAGTTTTCCAGAATGTACTGTCACTTATCTCTAAATGGTGTGTGATTCTGTACTTTGTGAACCTGTGTAGAATGCTGTCTTTGGAAATTTTATCTGAAGCCACAAGTATCTGTTGGCCTTATATGATCACAGTATAAACATTTATTGAACTGTATTATTATTATTATTATTTTTAATAAAGATGACCGGTTAGGGGATCTTAACCCTTGACTTGGTGTTGTGAGCACCACACTCTCTCAAGTGAGCTAACCGGCCATCCCTATATAGGATCCGAACCCGCGGCCTCGGCGCTCCCAGTGCCGCACTCTCCTGAGTGAGCCATGGAGCTGGCCCTTGAACTGCTTTTTAAAGCAACCTTTTAAGTGCTTGTTTGTAACTAATGAAACCTTTGTTATTATGAGGTCATACCTCCAGCAGTAATTACTAAATCAGTGTGAAATTACTTTATTTCCTTTTTCAAAACCAAGTTGCCGGGTAACTTCTATTAAATACCCAGAACTTGTAGTTATCAAGGTTATTTTGGGCTGAAAGATTTTTTCCTCAAACAGCTCTTTATCATAGTAAAGGAAATGGGAAAGTGCTGGAATAGAAGAGATTTTGTGAGTCCTTGAAAGCATATCTACTTCCTCTTTTAAGGGGTGATTTTTGAGAAGAGGGGAATCTTACCCTGTATTTAGAGGAATGTGATATTCTTTACCTCCAAAAAGAAGTATTCTTTCTCCTGTTTTTATTTAACCATATAGCCTTTCAGCATTTCTTTCCTTTCCCATTTTTGATAAACACACAGGTTTAAGACCTAATTCATGATGCTCCTACTTCGACTATAAAGAAGATAGCACCCCTCACAGATGATGGTAGAGTGGACACTTGGCTTCAGTGTTGAGAACAGTAGGGAGCTCTGGGGATATAGCAGACTGGAAATGGTGAGAAGCTGGAGCCCGGAGCCCACTGTATTTCACATGTGGAAATGCAGGCTCAGCACTGCCAGATTGCTGAATTGGAAGAAAGAGGGCCTTCAAGGATGGCTCCATGACTGATGGCCTGAGAAGGGAAGCAGCTTTGGGGTGGGTGAGTTAGGATTTCAGTTCTGGACATGTTAAGTCTGAGATGTTTTTAGATACCCAGACAGCAAGGCTACTCTGTCTTGCCCACTGCCGTGTCTTGGGCACCTTAAGCAGGGCATCCTCCATAGCAGGCACACAGTGTGCACTGGCTGAGTTCTCAACACCTGCCTTTCTGCTGGGATCACAGAATTCTGTTTGTTGAGCTGAATTACAAATCCTAGGTAATAAAAAGCCTTAAAAATTAGAGAAAGGAGGGATAGTTTTCTTGACCACTCCTCACCTTTCTCCCGTGCCCTAAAATGTAAGAGGAGGTTATAGACAAAGATCAACCTGTAACTTGCTAAAAGAGGGAGACTTGTGGCACTTGAGCTCCACCTGATCCTATGCATACTTCTGAAGGAGCAGCTGTCTCCTGCAGGCCACTGCACTGAGAGCCTTCAGACTGGGCCAGTTTGTTTTGGCTCTTCCTCAGCACTAAGGGACTGAGGGCTGGGAGATGAAATTAGAGGTACCTTAAACATGATTAGGATGCTCATCTGTGAGCCTAGAATTATCTTGAGAAATTATCATACTGTAGAAATAGGTCTGGAAGGATAGAGACCAGGGCGTTAACAGAGATTATTGTTGAATGATTTTTTAAAACCTATGTTTCCTAATTTATCTAATTAAAAAGGCATTTTTAATATAAAACAATTATGTTCAAATCATTTATCTTGTTTTTTCTTTTTTTAAAGTAATAGCTTCGTTATGATATAAATCACATTTTGTAAAATTAACCCTTTAAGTGTCCAAGTAAGGGGTTTTTAGTGGATTCAGAGTTGTGCAATAGTCACCACAGTCAGTTTTACATTTCATGGTTCATCCATGTTGTAGCATGTATCAGCACTTCAGTTCCTTTTCATAAGTAAATAACATTCCACTGCATGGAGAGACCACATCTTATTTATCTATTCAGTTGACGGACATTTCGGTTGCTTCTACTTCTTGGCTTCTAGGAACATTCATGTACAAGTTTGCATGTGCACGTGTGTTTTCAGTTCTCTCTGGTATGTACCTAGGAGTGTAATTGCTACTGAGTCATATGGTTAAATGTTTAACTTCTTCAAGAACTGCCAAACTGTTTTGTGCAGCAGCGGCATCATTTCACATTCCCACCAGCAGTGTGTGAGGGTTCCAATTTCTCCACGTCCTCACCAGCACTTGTTATTGTCCATCGTTTTGGTTATAGCCATCCCAGTGGGTATAATGTGATATTTATTCATTATCGCTAGTTATTGAAAAAACAAAACACACGCTTTTTTCTCCCCAGCTGAAACAGAACCTCATGAGGGAAAGAGGAAGGTGGAATCGCTGTGGCCCGCCATCCCAGTGGGTATAATGTGATATTTATTCATTATCGCTAGTTATTGAAAAAACAAAACCCACGCTTTTTTCTCCCCAGCTGAAACAGAACCTCATGAGGGAAAGAGGAAGGTGGAATCGCTGTGGCCCATCTTCAGGATCCACCACCAGAAAACCCGCTATATCTTTGACCTCTTTTACAAGCGGAAAGCCATAAGCAGAGGTAACTGGCCAAATTCTCTCTTGGCATTTCAATCTTGTGTAGTTTTTAGAGTCGTTTAAGTAATAGCCCTTATCTTTACAACCTCAGCAAGTATCATGATTCTTTTCACTACTAAAAATAGGGAGAGGCTAATGTTGGCTAAAATTTTTTTTTTTTTTTAAATAAAAGATGACCGGTAAGGGGTAACCCTTGGCTTGGTGTTGTCAGCACCACGCTCTCCCGCTAAAAATAGGGAGAGGCTAATGTTGGCTAAAATTTTTTTTTTTTTTTAAATAAAAGATGACTGGTAAGGGGTAACCCTTGGCTTGGTGTTGTCAGCACCACGCTCTCCCGAGTGAGCCAACCAGCCATCCCTACATAGGGATCCGAACCCATGGCCTTGGTGCCATCAGCACCACACTCTCCCAAGTGAGCCACGGGCCGGTCCTAAATATTCTTTTTAATCAAGGGTGGTGATGCGACAAGGGTGAGGGAAGGTTTGTAACACCACATTCTGATGCCCTTTCTCTCTTTCTGAAGAACTATATGAATATTGTATTAAAGAAGGCTATGCAGACAAAAACCTGATCGCAAAATGGAAAAAGCAGGGTTATGAGAATTTGTGCTGCCTGCGCTGCATTCAGACACGGGACACCAATTTTGGGACAAATTGCATTTGCCGGGTTCCCAAAAGCAAGCTGGAAGTGGTAATGTTTGATGATCAAGTTTGATGTTATTTTTAGTTCAAAATTCTGCCCTAGTCAAAATTCTGCACAAGGGATTTTCTATGATTTGGTTGGGCTAGAATGTAGTTTTGTCACCAGGCATCCTACTGACCATCCCTCCCAGGACCAAGTCCCTCTGCTTAAGAATCCACGCTAGGCAGTTTGGCAGTTATCGTGTTTGTTAGGTCTGGAGGCTAATCTCACCTCCACCTGTGGCAAGTTATTGACCTCTTTTCCTCGCTTAAGAAATGGTGGTGACAATACCCGCCACAGGTGGTGGGAGGGCTAGATCAGGGAAGGGTGGCCATTCAGCTGGAGTTCCTGTCCTTTTCCCTTTGGTCCTTACAATGACACTTTAACATTACCATCACTGCATTTCTTCTGTCAGAACTTTCTGTTCCAAACTAGGTTGGGCACCTCGGGAGTGGTGCTAAGCTGGCAGTAGCTGAACTTGGGGCCCTAGCCCCTCTGAAAAGGAGCTGTAGAAGGAGACAGAGAAGAGTTACGTGGTGCCCATTAGTGGCCTTTCAGTGCAGCCCCTTGGCAGACAGTTGTTGGCCCAGCCAGCAGGTCAGGCCAGATCGCCAGTCTCCTGGCCTGACCTTGTTTCCCCTAGCTTCACACAGGTGCCTCATCACATGAGTCCCTTCATGCTACAGCGAGAGTTACAATGTATAGAGCTTTGGGTTGGTGTTAAGGGCTGTAACTCAGCAGGCAGCTTGGTCTCCCTGCACCAGGTGGAAGCTCAAGGACAGGCATACTGAGCAGTGGAGAGTGAGTGAGGGTTGCCTCCCTGAGGGAAGGCTCTGGGTGTTTGTTTTCTGATGGAAGCAGAGAGGGTTTGGCAAAGCAGCACCAGCCCCTCTTCCTCTGAGAGCTATAGGATTCTATAGGAGTGTCTGGGTCAGGGTTAGGGGGCTGCCTCAGCCCTGTGACCAGAACAGAGCCTGCTTTTTAGCTGGGTCTCACCAGAGGATCTTGTTCGCTTAGACTAAAGTCTTGTTCCTCTAAAAAAAAGAATTTTAAAAAGTAAAATAAACACAAATCACTGCTCTGAGGCCTTCTGTCTGCTGGGTGGGCCCCTGGCCAGACATCAGGCCATACCGAACGTGGAGGACAAGCCTGTTCTACTGGTTGTAGAAACTCGAGTGTACATGCTTCTGCTCCCATGCCCCCACCAGAAAGCTTTCCAGCCAACAGGAGGCCCCAAGCAGTAGCACATCCACCTCAGCTCCTTGCAGGGGATGTCATGCCCACTTAGGGGATTAATAAGACTCACTCACACAATTAATTTTCCTTTTTTGGCATGTATGTATGTTGAATTTGTATAAATTAAATGCATATACAGATGTAATCTGTGTCAACCGTAGCTATTGCCATCTTCATGGATGTCATGCCCACTTAGGGGATTAATAAGACTCACTCACACAATTAATTTTCCTTTTTTGACATGTATGTATGTTGAATTTGTATAAATTAAATGCATATACAGATGTAATCTGTGTCAACCGTAGCTATTGCCATCTTCACGAGGAAACCAAATTTTCCCTGTCCAGAACCATGAAAGAGATGTGTCCTGTAGGGAATGTCCTGCTCTCCCCCTTCTCAGTGGGAGGATTACTGTGTTTGTGAGTGTGCAGGGGTGTGTGTGTGTGGTGGGTGGCTGGGTGCAGTGCCTCAGCTGTCCTCTGTTGTCCTCTGTTGCAGGGCCGCATCATCGAGTGCACACACTGTGGCTGCCGTGGCTGCTCTGGCTGAGGTCCTTGGGCACTGACCCCTCGACCCTGGACTTCAGACTTCACAGGTTTCTGCCTATTGTGCCACCCCCTTTCCTGGGAGCAGCTCTTCTTGCAGAGCAGTGCCCTGGGCCCGAGTTAGAGCATGGTCTCTACAGGTGAAGGCTTCAGTGTTCATCAGGTGTGATTTGTAAAAATAAAACCTTTAAACCTCTAAACGGGGCTCTGCATCTGTTCTTTCAGAGCAACAATGTATGGAACCCAGTGGGAGAGCACCAGGCCCTGGAGACTAGATGCCCCTGAGACTCAGTCCTGGCTTCAGCTCATAGGTGCTATGTGACTGTAAGCAAGGACCCTTTCCTCCTCAGTGATGGGATGACAACTCCTCAGGCGAGGATGACCTGAGATGACATGTGGAGGTGGTGCCAGCTGGTCTTGGACCTGCTGTGAACTTGGGGACCTGGGCCCAGTGGTTGTCTTCATGCCAACACCTGCAAAATGCTACAGTTCTCACTCTGGGCCAGGCCTTCATGCACAAGGCGACAGTAGCATGTTCACTTGTCTTTAATATGGAGGGCACTCCTGGGGCTCCCACAAAGCACTGTAACAAACAACCACGTACTTTATTCCAGCTATGCTCCCTGTCACCTGCCCCCAAGGCCTCTGTCCACATCAGCTTCCTTGAGAATGTCCTGGTCCCCCTTGGGCTTGGTCTGGAACTTCTGCCAGGGGTGGGGGGTTTCCTCTGCTGGCATCACTTTCAGCCACTGCTTATAATAAGCTCGGAAACCATCGATCTTCTCCAAGTAGGTGTTTTTCACTTTGTACTGTAATTGGAAAAGCACAGGGTTCAGGTGTTCAGAGGAGCCCTCTGATGATCAGAATCATTGCATGTTACCTACAGCTAATCCCAAACCATGGCAGTTGGCTCAGGCCTCAGGGAACCTTATCCCTGCTATTCTCCCAGGTGGCTACAGGAGACAGGGCAGAAAAGGTGTTAATGTTCAATATGAGTAGCTTATTGTAGAGAAACAGATTCCAGGTAAAGTTGCTGTGCCATGGGGCAAGCCCAGATTCCCACATGCCTTATAGTCACCTTTCTTCCTAAATATGCACTGCTGTGCTCCTCTACCCATGGATGTCACCCCAGCCCCCCAAGCTAGAATTGCTGGGTCCCATCAACTCTGCCTCCAGTCTGCTGCGTGCCTCCCCATAGGCACAGCCACTGCCTCCCTTCTGAACCATCATCCTGGCACTCCTGCAATGGTCTCCAGGGACAGGGGGAAAGAAAAGGAGAAACAAGGAACACCAGGCAGATACCAAAAGAAAGCTATAAGGGGAATATTTAGAAAAAACAGGGGGCCGGCCCAGTGGCGCACTGGAGAATGCGCCGCTTGGGAGCGCGGCGGCGCTCCCCCGCTGAGGGTTCGGATCCCATGTGGAGACCAGTTCCCGCTCACTGGCTGAGCGCGGTGCAGGCGCAACACTGAGGGTTGCGATGCCGTTGCCAGTCCCCGGTACGGGCGCGACACTGAGGGTTGCAATCCCGTTACCGGTCAGTAAAAAAGACAAAAAGGAAAAAAAAAAAAGAAAAAACAGGCAAAAGTATTATCAGAGGTAAAGACTGTTGTCACGTGATGATAAAAGGTTTGACTGAAAAGATTAAACAATTCTAAGCTTGAATGTACCTAATATAGCCTGAAAGAATATAAAGCAAAACTTTTCAGCATACCTAATAGAAATTTAAGCAAGTCCACCATCACAAGGGAGTATGAGTATATAGTTTCAATACAATAAGCTTTAGGCCTTTGGTAGGCTTGTGACTGTTGAACCTAAGAAGACCCCTAGTAGGCCTTACCCCATAGAGTGAAGAGACAGTCCACTAACTAAAAGATACTTGCTTCATGTGACCAAAGACTAGTATCCAAAAGAACTCTGAGGAATCAATGAGGAAAGACTAACAACCAACAGTTCATGCTCTCCACTGCTGTCCCACTCGTTCCTACTAAGCCTTTGGAATGGCATTCAAGTATTGTTCCTGCATAGCCATGCCCGCCCCATGCCCCATGGCTTGTGTCCTTGCAGATTTACTTGTCTCCCTCCCTATCTGGGTCGTGTTCCTCCAGGTCACAGTTGCTCTGGCTGCTGTGGAGATGCTCAGCACAGGGTCTGACTCAATAGACCCAAAACCAAACACCCAGAGCCTGATATCCTCAGAGCAGCAGGAAGAGAATGATCAGCCAGCACAAAACAAATTCCATCACCCTGCCCTACTGCTGCCCATTCACTGAACAAACAGTATGTACTGATACCAAGCAATGTGCAGGCACTGGGGACGCAGGGGAGCAAGGCAGACAGTCTCCACCTCTAGGAGCCTATGGTTCAGTGAAGGCGAGAACTGCGCACGTGAGCGTGTAATTATAAAGTAAAACATGGTATAAAGGAATAGGGCAGTATGTAGTGGGGAGGAGAGACTCAGATGTGTGGGGGTGGCAGCCAGCAAGGCATCTCTGAGAAGCCATTTAAGCGGAGATCTGCAGGAGGAGGAGGAATTAGTCATGAAAAGCAAGGGGAGCCTATTCTAGGCAGAAGGAATACAAACGCCCTGAGGCAGGAAAGGCTGGTGGTGTCTAGCAAATGTCAGAAGGCCAGTGGGACTGACAGTCAACCAGGGGAAGACTGGCCTGAGATAGGAAATGAGCCATGCAGACAGGGATTCGCAGGCTGTGGTATGGGCACTTTATGATTTCCTCTAAGGGAAAGTTTTAAGCAAGGGAACACCAGCCCGAAAGGCCAGAACCAGGGGTGGGTGGGTGGTGGGGTGGTGATGGTTAAGAGGACGGTGAGCATGTTCAAGCCTGGTACACATACCCGGTCAAAGGTGGGTGGGTACTCAGCCGCAAATTCCAGTTGGCGGATGACCACTTCATTCACCGGGACTCTGTTCTGCTTCATGTCCTTCAGGATGTCGATGAGATAGGTGTAGTTGAGCTTCTTGAGGGCTGCGTTGATGAGGCTGCTGTAGATGTGGGTGTTGGGCGTCATATGGGATTTCTGGAACATCAAGGACGTCACACAATCAGCAAGATGATGGCTGCTGTTGGGACTAAACAGCCTGCTGCAGCATGTCCAGCTTGGGGAGTTGCCCAGCCAGTCAGGTCTGCTCTGAAGACCAGCAACCAGGGACAAGAGGGCAGTACAGCCTGTGGCAACAACAGGCTGTACTCTCCTCCAAAAGGAAAGTAAGCAAGTGTGCCCCATTCCGTGGATCCGTCCTACCCGCACCCTGCCCTCAGCCCTGAAGGAAACCTGTGCAGCTCTCAGAGACCAGCTGACTCAAGAAGAAAACGATGCAGGAGATACCATCTCCTCGCTCAATGGGTTTACTGGTGACAACACTGTCACCAGAAGGTGATGGTCAGTCTAGAAAAACAGCCAATATTGGCTGGGTGAGTCCAGTAGCACCAGGAAAAACAGCAAGGAAACAGTGAATGTGGGGGACATGAAAAACCTGATCCCCAGGAAGTGCCCTCTGCTGCGGTCAGATAAAATCCACTTAGCAAAGTCCCAGTGCAGGCCAGGTGGGATGCATATAGAACTCCTCAGGGGCTTGGTTAACTGCCCCCCCCCCCCAGGAATTATGATATACCCCTGCTCCGGTCATACCCTCCATCCCTCTATCCCTTTGGAGTGTTGGGGCCAAGGCCCACCCCACCCCTCAATCTCATCCCACTGCCACCTTCAAGATAGGAACACCCCTTGCTCTCCATCCATTCTTGCAGTAGCTCGCCAGGGTCTACTTTATCCCAGATGGGACCAGTGACCCCCTCTCCCTGCCTCCATGCAGTTTATCCTATCCAGGTGCAGAGGTCTGGGCAGTGGACGGGACCCCACATCCACCCCAACTGTCTGAGCACCCCCAAGTACTCCTCAGCACCACAGGCGTCCTGCCCAGGCCTGGTCCCCTCACCTTCATGTCTGCAAGTAGCTGCAGACCATCCTTTGGCCTGTGGCACCCGATGGCCAGGTTACAGAATGTGTGTAGGTTAGGGACGATTCCTCTCTTTGCCAGGACTGGCAACAGCGCCTGTGAGGACAGACATGGTGTCACTGTAACCTGTAAGCCACTGGCCCCGGTGAGAGCCTTCTCTGGTGAAGTTCTGGGCTGGAAACTGGAGGCCCTAGCCCCAGGTGCACAGCTCTGCTGGAGGCCTCACAGCTCCCTCTGTTGACCGCATCACGCCAGTGGCCTCAGCTTGGCACTCAAGGCCCTAAGTCCTGTCTAGCCTACCTCTTAGGAATTCAACCACTCTGCATGTGCACCCTGACGTCCAACCTGCCTGTCTCCAATATGCCGTCCCTTCTCCATGAATACCTTCCTGTTCCCGTCCTCCACTCACTGTCACATGCTCCTCTGCAGGCCATCCCCATACTCGACCATTCAAGACCAGTGGCCTCAGGAACTTGTGGTCCACAATGTGGGAAGTGCTGGCCTCGGGAGTGAGGAAGGCCAGGGGTGAGGTAGAGGGTCCCCTGCTCAGCCTGGCTGGGTCAGGGAGGGTCCTGGGGATGGGCTCTATCATGTTTAGCTTGTCCACAGGAAGGTGTGCTCTGCACTGAAGGCTTGAAGGCAGAGGCAATCTGTCACCTTTGACCCCCACAACTGCCCAGGGCAGTACTTCTGAAAGGTGTGCTCTGCACTGAAGGCTTGAAGGCAGAGGCAATCTGTCACCTTTGACCCCCACAAGTGCCCAGGGCAGTACTTCTGGCAAAAAAGGCATCTCATAAAAAAACTTGTCATATGAATAAACAAAATCCCATGAGGGACCCAACATCCCCATCTGTGAAATGGAGAAAGCCACGTACCAGCAGTGTCTCCTGGTCTGATCAGTAAAGAAAAAAATGCAGTGAAGCTCTTAGAAGAGCGTCCACAGAGTAAGTGTGCTGTCGAGGGATGGGGTGTAAAAGGTGAGGACACTGGAGCATCACTGGGAGCCATTAGAGGCTGCCTGAGGGCAACCTCTTGGCCCAGCTGAGTGACACCTCAGCCATATGTTCTTGCAGCACCTGCACATCTTGTGTCCCCCATGTCAAGTAATGAAATGTTTGTCATCTGCCTTCCCACCCATCCATGAACTCCACCAGGAGGGGCAGAGAACATGTCCAGCTTCTACCTGCTCGATTCCCAGCACTTCACCCCAGGTCAGGCCCAGAATGGGGCTTCAGGCGCATATGAGGACCCAAGGCAGGAAAAGACGTCAGGTTGTGCAGTCCAAGGAGCAGAAAAGGGAAGAGGAGGAGGGTCCCCAGCTAAGGGCCAAATGCCTGCCTCTGAGCCCCTTACCTTTGCCCCCTCCAGGTCTCCCAGCTTGCTTTTCTTCCTCATCAGTGTGTTGAAGAATGTCACATCAGCCTCCACCTGGTGCGTGTCCAGGAGGGTCAGCAGCAAGGCTTCCGTGGGGCTCCCAGGCTCCACCACCTCAGCCAGCAGCGTGAGGGTTTTGATGTCGGGCTGGAGCCCGTGCTCCGCCATCTTGGCCAGGAAGCCCTCCAGGCCCCCCATCAAGGCCAGCCTGTCGGAGGGGGTGGTTACTGTCCCTAAGGAGACCACAGCTGGGGGGATGGTCTTGAGGGTCAGGAGATTGACCTCCAGCTGCAAGGGAGGTGGCTTCAGGGCCACTGGGATGAGGGCCACTGTGTGGTCAGGCTCTGCCTTGGTTTCTACCTCAGGCTGGGCCTTGCTGGTCAATCTGGCCTCTTGAGGCTCTGGAGGCCCCTCAAGTACTTGAGAAGGTTCCAGAAGCAGCTGCCTCTCTAGGGCTTCCACGTGCAGCCTAGCTGACATGCTGTCACCTGCCTCAGCCTGGGCTCTTCCCCTTGCCCGCCGCCTGCCTCCCGGGGGCTGGAGCAGGGCTGTCTCTTCCCTGGGCCTCAGGAGCAGCTCTGAGGCCACCTCCGGGTCCCCCAGGCCACAGTCACGAGCTGCCCCCAACAGCAAGTTGTAGATGTGCCGGCTTGGCTTGAGCCCCAGACTCAGCATCTGCCTCCACACCTGTTTGGGGAGAGACACACGTCACCTCGGCAGAAGTGGTTGCTTGGGGGCCGGCCCAGTGGCGCACTGGAGAGTGCGCCACTTGGGAGCGCAGCGGCGCTCCCGCCGAGGGTTCGGATCCCATGTGGAGACCGGTTCCCGCTCACTGGCTGAGTGCGGTGCGGGCGCAACACCAACGGTTGCGATCCCGTTGCTGGTCCCCGGTACGGGCACGACACCAAGGGTTGTGATCCCATTACCGGTCAGTAAAAAAGACAAAAAAGGTAAAAAAAAAAAGAAGTGGTTGCTCAGAGTCAGGAGTCAGGCCAGCAAATGCCAAAGGCAAGACAACCATATGCAAAGTATTGGGGTTGTCCTGTGGCTCACTTGGGAGAGTGCAGTGCTGATAACACCAAGGCAACGGGTTTGCCATCTGTAAAATGGGGGGAGCAGCGTGCTCTGCAGCAGCTGCTGGAAAGGCCAAAAGATCGCAAGTGTAAAAACACCCAGAACAGGGCTGGCCCGGTGGCGCACTCGGAAGAGTGCAGCGCTTGGGAGTGCGGCGAGCCATCTGTAAAATGGGGGGAGCAGCGTGCTCTGCAGCAGCTGCTGGAAAGGCCAAAAGATCACAAGTGTAAAAACACCCAGAACAGGGCCGGCCCGGTGGCGCACTCGGAAGAGTGCAGCGCTTGGGAGTGCGGCGACGCTCCTGCCGAGGGTTTGGATCCCATATAGAGACCGGTCCGCTCACTGGTTGAGCATGGTGCGGGCGCGACACCGAGGGTTGCGATCCCGTTGCCGGTCGCGGTGCCAGCGTGACACTGAGGGTTGCGATCCCGTTACCAGTCACAAAAAAAGACAAAAAGGAAAAAACAAAAACAAACCAAAAAAACCACCCAGAACAGGGCAGTAGTAGGTGGTCAAGAAATGCTGATAGGATCATCGTTTTGCACCCCTGATGCAGACACCTGGGGGATGTGGAGCAGAAAGGCAGGGCTGGAGGGACAGACCTGCAGAGCATATCGGAAGCCTGTCTTCTTGTCCTGGATGCAGCCCATGAGCAGGAAACTGAAGGTCTCCTCTGTGACCATGTGTCCTTTGTTAACAATTTCCTGGGGGAGGAAACAAAGCAGTTCTGTTGAGAACCTATGGCAGAGCCCAGGCTGTGCACCTCGAGGAGGTGGGTGCTGGAACGTGGCTCTGGGGCCGGCTCAGAACCAGCTCCCGAGCAGAGCAGAGCAGCCCAACTGCTCCCTGCCCTGGCCTCTCTCTGGGTTCTGCTCCTAGCAAGTGGTCTGAGAAGCACCTCGGCAAAGACCATCCCAGGGGCCACTTAAAGTCCCTCAGATTGAGGCTCTGGAATGGCACAGAACTGGCTCAAGTCCTAGTTCCACCACTGGCCAGCTGTGGGTGCAGGCAAGGCACTCAACTCCCCGGCCTCGGTTTCCGCATCTGTGGAGTGAGGCCCCAGGGAGCACTTGTCTTCTGGGATCTCTGGAACACCCCCATGGCAGCAAGGCTCATGGCACTATCACTGGCGGCTCCTGGGTGTGCAGGGTTGGCCATGGCCTTCTTGAGATGCTCCTCTCACCTCTCAGCACCTCTGGGCTTCTCCTCAAGCCTCTCTTCTGTCCCTCTGGTCAGCATAGGGGCTCCCAGCCCCACTGCTGCCACTCTCCTGCCTCCCTTACCCCAGGGCCACCTCCTCCGTTGTCGGCTCTGGGTAAGGTTTGGTCTGTGCTCTCTCTTCTTGAACAACTACAGCTGTCTCTCAGCTGGTCCTTCTTCCTCTCTAAACACCAACCCACAAGCCAGAGACACCTGCCCAAAATACCAATCTGACATCTCTGGACAAGCCAGGCAAGAGGCCTATTAGCTACACTGTCCCCTTCCAGAAGCTTCTGGTACTGCCTTGCCCACAGCACCCTTTGGAGAGATTTGTCACTCACAGGGAGGTCTCCAAGCTCAAGTCCCCCAAGATCCTACCTCCCCAGCAAGAGCTGGCCAGCTCAAGGCAGCCAGTCTAATGACCAGTCAGCCATCGGGGAGCCACTCAGTAGTGAGCTCTGTCTTCACCACACAGAGCCAGGAAAAGCCCGTCAGGTCCTGTCTCCCAAATGGAACAAGTGGGAACTCGATACGTACAGTGAGGAAAAGCGTCAGTCAGTCACAGGAGGAGCACAAACTGAAAGTCGCCAAGTCATCATCAGGGCAGAATGTAAGAGGAGACAGCGAGATGTGCCTGCCAGGCCCAAGGGACTAGCACAATGACAAGGCAGCTAAGGGCAGTAGGAGCCCTCACACTGTTCTGGTCCTCCTGAGGCCTGGCTGTGGACACCTGGAACCTTCTCTGCTTCCCAGGCATCCTTATGACAAACCTTCATATAAGGTGTATTCTTTCTTGCAACCTGGGACAGTAGTACCAACACCCTGCTCATTGTCCTTCCTGCTCAAACCCTCAAGATCTCCTTCTCTGTGAACTGGGAATAAAAAAAAACACTTCTTACCAGGCGACAGGGGAGTAGAACAGGACACAGGCTGAAGCCCTACCGTGCCTGGAACCCAGGGCCCTTCTGGAATAGGCCCTGCTCAGTGTCCCATACCTGCACTCGCCTGTGTCCCTTGAACCCGACACACTGACCAGCCCGGACTCCACAGCGCCCTGGAGCCAGGGCTTTCACTCCCACTGCTCTTTCTGCACAAGGGGTCCTACCTGTGAGCAGCGACTCATCCCGGACACTCAGGTCAAGTGTGCCTCCTCTGTGAAGCCCTCCCCCTTCAGAGACACAGCACACAGAAGCACACACCTTCTGTCTTTCTGTCACACTGAGACCTCCGAGGGCAGGGTCTTGGACTCATCTGTGAACCCACCGCCCAGCACAGGGATGTCTCATCTTCCCTGAACCTTCTTGAAGGAGCATGAAGGGAGATGGAGGGCCACAGCCTCACCCCTGCCACATGGGGCTGACCGCAAGCAGAGTAGGAAAGAAGGGGCATCCCCACCTTGAACACGTCGAGGCACATCCTGAGGTCTGCGCACCTGGCAGCCATCTTCAGTAGGGCGTGGTATGTTTTCAAGTTGAGCTGGATGTTTTTGGCCTGAAGCTGCTGCCGGAGCTTCAGTGCATTCTGCAGAGCAGAGTCCTTCCAGGGAGATTCGGCACAGACATTGAACAGGGCCGTGTATGTGGCATCTGAGGGCTCCAGGTCCCGCTTTTTCATCTGATGAGATGAGAGAAACATAGAGGTGGCTCTGGGATCAGCTGGATGCGCAGGCGAGCAGCCATCCCAGAGGAAGCCAGCGGGGACTGCAGTAGCATATTCAACAGGCCCAGGGCAGTGCCAAATGACACAGCAGAGCCTGGCTCTCCAACCCCTGACTGATAGAGGGACTCTGAAAACTGAGCCCACACCCCCAGGTGTACCGAACAAGAAACCATCCTCCCATGGGCACTTGTCAGCCCATTCTGGACCTAGGGTGTTTGCCACAGGGTCCACCTGATGTCCCTACATTCAGGCCCAACCAGGTCACCCTGCCTGTCAAGTGGTCACAGGGTGGAAATGCTCTGGGAAAGGAAGCACAGTGCTTACTAAGGGATTGTGGGCATTAGCTCCTTATCGTGAAAATGAGGATGATACCATCACCTTGGGAGGTTGTTGAAAGGGTTGAGTAGGAGAGTGTATGTCAGTGTTCTGGGGGTGGCCCTCAAACCAGCAGCAGCAGCTGGAAGCAATGCACATTCTCAGGGCCACTCAACCTGCCAAGTCACACACCCTAGGGGTGGAGCTAACACTCAAGCCTCCAGGAGACTGAGGCAGAACTTCCTGCTAAAGCCAAGCACTCACTGCTTCCCAGAGAAGGGCCATCTGACCGAGGGCAGGTGACAAGCTGCTGAGGGGAATAAAAAGATGCTAGAGTCAGGCTGTTTTGGGCTCAACTCTCAGCTCCAATGCTCTCAAGTGCGGTAGCCTTGGATATGTCCCTTCATCTCTCTGGGCCTGAGTTTCCTTATCTGAAAATTGACGCTGGTGATCCCTACTTGGAGGATGATGTAGGCTCTGCATGTATTCACACATTGGATAGATGGGTACTAAGAACTCGCTACATGCACAGCACTGGCCCCTGGTGGCCAGCAGAGCAGACACACCTGTCTTCACTGAGCTTACACTCTAGAAGGGAGACACACTGTGAATGAGTAAGTTATCACCAGCAGTAATAAGTGCTATGAAGGGCACCCAGAAAATGGATGGAAAAGGAAGAGTAACTTCACACTGCAGCAATCTGGCAAAAACCACTTTCACCAAATGACCAAGGTTAATGTCACCAGTGATGAATCATGTCGATGTCACGTACCCACTGACATCAGAAGGGCACTTCACCTCTGTGATGTTCTTTCCCCAAACCCATAACCCCAGTCCCATCATGAGGAAGCACCAGCCTAACACACACTGACGGGCAATCAAGATACCTGGCAAGTACACCTCAAAACTGTCAAGGTCATGAAAAACAAGACTCAGAAAGTATTGGACTGCAGGAGCCAGTATGGAAACCTGGACTGGATACAGGAATAGAAAAAGGATATCAATGGAGAAACTGGTGAAATCCAAATAAAGTCTGGAGTTTAGTTAACAGTAATATACAGATGTTGGCATCTTAGTTTTGACAAATGTATCATTGTAATGTAAGGTGTTAACATGGTAAAGTTGGGTGAGGGGTATTTGGGAACTTTCTATACTGTCAATGCAACTTTCCTATAAATCTTAAATTATTCTAAAGTAAGGAGTTTATTTTAAAAAGTACCTCAACCAAGGGCCGGCCCGGTGGCGCACTGCTACAGTGCGCCGCTTGAGAGTGTGGTGGCGCTCCCGCCGAGGGTTCGGATCCCACATACAGACCGGCCGCTCACTGGCTGAGCGAGGTGCAGGTGCAACACCGAGGGTTGCGATCCCGTTGCCGGTCCCCGGTCCGGTATGGGCGCGACACTGAGGGTTGCGATCCATTGCCGGTCACGAAAAAAGACAAAAAAAAAAAAAAAAAGAAAGTCTTATGGATGAAATGATAGAATGTCTGGGATTTGCTTTAAAAATTCATTTTGCAGTGGGAGTGCAGGTTATAGATG